ACTCCCACTGCTTCTAGCTTCCAAAACTCTTAACTCCAAACTTAACTCCAGAGTAGTAGACTTGTATATGCCACTGCTCACTAGATACCTACATATGAATATCCCATCAGCACCTAAAATTCAACATAACCAAATTATGTCAGTATAACCCTGTCCCTGAGCCCAGTGATTACTTGTAGTTAATCACTACGTTTCCAACTACAGAGGAAATACAGTTCCAGCATCCCAGCAGTTTCTGCAATATCTCTAAATACTTGTATACTTTCTAACATTTTTTGACACTTATTTGAGAGTAGGAACTTCTAGAGTCACCATGCCTATTCTAGTTGAAGGATAAGGTTGATCCTTCTGGAAAGGGAACAAGAAAAAAGAGGCCTCCAAGTTTAGCCACTCTACCTGTTAATATTGACAGGTAATTCACATAGGAAAAGTTTAATGTCATTATTTATAAACAAACTTTAAACCATCCAAAATGATCACAAAAAGGAAACAAGAAAAATGAATAATGCTAAAGTATTTTAAATTAATTTCAAATGCTATTTTAGAATACTTATATTTCCTTAGACCTTTCTTTAAAGGCTAAATAAAAGTAGACCTAGAGGGACCTACTTCCCCAACTTACGGTCTAGAAAACTGATGTGTCACTTGATCTAACATTAGGATCAAAACTCGGGCATAATTCTGGAGAACACAGTCATTGGAGAGCTCCCATAAGGCAATAGCAAATTGTGACATACCCATGCTGGCCTTAGCTCCCAGAGCCTGCACTGCAGCCATGGTATGCACAATGACACCCTTAGGGAACTCGGACCAGCTTGGTGGCTTCCCATCAACAGTGATGATGTGCCGTAGGCGTGGGACCAAAGAAACTATATCCTAGAAATACACAAACATTCATCATGTTCATTATTTTTCAAACAGTTAAGCAAATAATTCAGGACTAAGAAAAGTAGCTTACCATATTAAGTGAATTATTGAAGTAATTTCTTAAAAACGCAAGAGGAAAGGGTGCACTGGCATAACTTCACTATTTTCACATGAAAACATACTGGGTCTGAATTAATTACAATTTTACAGCATTAGATTTTCTCTGTCTACCCCTGTCTTTGGTAAAATTCTCATCATCAAGAGTACTGTCTTACAAAATGGGCATATGAACACAGGCTGCCTGAACTAGAGAGAAACCAAAGGCCCCTTGTGTTTTCTAGAGCCTAAATAAAAACATATGGGGAAAGGTGGAGGGAATTCACATGTAAACTTGTTTTTAAAAGAACAGCCCAGATATAGGGAGTTTTCTAAAGACTGAAGAAACCTCTTTTTACCATAATTTCATGAAATATCTCCTTTAAACTTACAAATAATTCTGAAAACTCATAATTACTAAATACCTCAGAAACAAAATAAAGGAATTACTAGTTTAAAATATAACCCAATATTACAAAATTACTAAAAGTGGACTAGAAAATAGATGAGCACAATGTAAAAAAAAATAGCTGTAATTCCTTCAATTTAGACAGAGGCATATTAACAATTAATTTATAACTCTGGACTACTTATATATGAATACACATGAAGTCTACTTTTTATTTTCTAAAGGAAAGAAATAAAGCATGACATTCTTATTGTTTTTGTTTTTTTTTTTTTTGAGAACAGAGTCTCACTACTCTGTTGCCCCGGCTAGAGTGCTGTGGTGTCAGCCTAGCTCACAGCAACCTCAAATTCCTGGGCTCAGGTGATCCTCCTGCTTCAGCCTTCTGAGTAGCTGGGACTACAGGCCTACGCCACCATGCCTGGGTAATTTATATATAGATATATATATCTTTAGTTGTCCAGCTAATTTCTTTCTATTTTTTTAGTACAGATGGGGTCTTGCTCTTGCTCAGGCTGGTCTCGAACTCTTGAGCTCAATCTGCCCGCCTGGCCTCCCAGGGTAAGTATGATGTTTTTAAAAGTTTACAAAGATATTAGGTCTGAGAAGTCATAAAAGAACTAAATATCAATAATCAGGCTCATGACACTGGAAAATTCTAAACCATCAGACAGTTATAAAGTAACTACAGTCCTCACCTTCAACTTTGTTTGCAAGAGTTCTTTACTAGTAATGATGTTGGTCACCTCTGTTTCATTTAATCCATGAACAATTGCTGGACCTCCAAGCGTAGCATATAATGTAACAACTACAAGGAAAAGCAGCATCAAGTCAAATATTCAAACATTTCATGAACTACTACCATATATCAACAAAGCCTCTGAAAATGGATGTGAATCACAATGGAGTATTCTGAACTCTATATTGTTAAATTCACAGTCTGTAAGAAGCAGTGTTGTGTTTTTAAAAATCTTAATACACTAATCAACAGTATATCCACTCACCCTCCCCTAATTTCCTCAAGATTTCCAATATTTCAAAGTAAGATTTTTAAAATTTTATTTCACCTACAGATGTTACTCTGAGAACTATCATGCTGGGAAGGAATTATAAGTGATTTCTAAAATTTCAAAATCTTAATTGTTGGCTACTTGGTACAATGTGAAAAAAGATTCAAAGGTAGCTTGAGAATTAATGTGAATTGCAGGACACACTGATCACCGACACTTTGAAGGCACTTGCAGCCCCAGGTTCCTCTAGGAGCTATAAAAAAATTATTTTTAAATTATTTATAATAAAAAAGAAAAAATTATTTAAAAATTATTTATAATAAAAAAGTGTGAAAAAGAACATGTACTAATAAGAGGACACACTGAATGTCAAATTTAAATCATATGTCAAGAAAGGAGCATAAACCAGTGGCAGCACTGCTTATTCTAAAGCAGAAATATCTAAAAAAAAAACTCTTAGAAATGCTAAAATTAAATAATATTAATAATAATATGGATTTTTATTTACTTTCTATATAATTCAAAAAAGTTAGATATATAAAA